CTGAGGTTGTCTGGAGGTTGGAGGGCCTGATGACATCCCCTTTGGAGCCCAAGCTCAAGTCGATCTTGGGATTCATGCTGTTTTGCATGTACTCGTGTTCCAATTGCTGATGCGGCACGCGCCCTATGCCCAGTGATTTCTCAGTTTCAACACATCATTTTGGTGGAATCGTCTAGCAGCGAGTACAAGACTGCATCTGGTGAGCGGCGTTCAGTCTTATTGCCACTGGTGGCCCTTGGGACAGGGTTGAGTGGTACTGGCTGGGCGCTGTCGTGGGTGAGAGCCAGAAGGCAATGTGGTCTGGATTCAAGTACCTGTATGATGCCTGCGGACTCCGAAACTCAGAACGCATGGTTGGAGAGGAGAATGACTACAGCTGAAGGATGCTATTGGCTCAAGGACCTTCTGACGATGACGGGCATGTCTGAGGGCGAGGCTTCCAAATACTCCACGCACTCGCTGAAGGCTACTGTTCTGAGTTGGGCAGCCAAGTCATCGACTTTTGGATGGCAGGAAAGGTTGGTACTTGGGCACCATTTGGACGAGGAGACCAAAATGGCAGTCGTTTATCCCAGGGACGCCATTGCAGCAGTGATGGTGAAAGTCCTCAGAATGCTGGAGACCATACGGCAGGGGATTTTTGACCCAGACGCCAGCCGCGCAGAGAGAATTGCAATGGCGACTGGGCTATCTAGCCTGCCGGACAACTTGCCAGAGCAGAACGATATGGAGCGTGAGCTGGAGAAGAGGCTAGCTTGCGATCAAGAGAACATCCAGGTGATCGAATCTGACGTCGAGGAGGACAGCATAGTGGACAGGCCAATCAAAATTCCCGGTGAGTCTGAAGCTCTGGCGCGGTCTTGTTTTCCGCCGATTGAGCTCGATCAGTGTGTGGTGCACCGAGTGTCGGGGATAGTGCATGGCAAGGAGACGACCGATAGCCTCCTGTGTGGACGAATTTTATCCACTAACATGCGCCCGGTTGACTTCCCTTGGAATGAGAGAGATGCTCATGAATTTTGTGAGCAATGCAATAGGGCACTACATCGTGTCTGAATGCTAGCGGGTACAAAAGACCATTGTCCTGGTGATTCATCACTCTCTGGGTTATGAACCATGCGGTCAATTTGTTTGGTTCAGTTCAGGATGGACCTTGAAACCCCTGATGGACTTTTATCTAGAATCCCGTTTGCTGATTGCTGTTTGAGTGCAAGTAATAGCACGTGAGGAGTGTCAGGTGAGATATGGGGTAATGTTGATCGCGTGACGCTGTCATGCGGTGAGATTGCAGATTAATTTGCAGTGCGTGCTCAGCAGCGGAAGTTGCGACTGAGGTGCACATATAGTCGTGAACGATTTGATGAACCTGATTATACTTTTTCAGTTTTCAGAACACTCTTTTGAGTATCGATACTTTGCACTCCTAAGCTGGTGACCCGTTTTGATACTAGCGAATTTGATATGATACTTCGCTTATCCCAACTTTTACCAGCCATGGTACAATTGGGAGTAGAAGGAAGGACTCAGCGCGGGAGCCGCGGTGACTACGCAGTGGAACGGTGCTCGTGATGTTGGGCACTTGACATAGTGCATGACAAGAAATTTTGAGACAACTTATTACGGGCAGCAAGTTCAATTTCTTGACGCCCCTTTTTGTTCTCTGCTTCCGACAACCCAATAGATTTCGATCCTCAGCAGTTGTGACTGTGCGGACGAGTCTGTAAAGCCTTATGTGATCGGATTGCAGGGTGCGGACATGCCCGTGGTGATTTACAGTGATGGAGCCTTTGAAAATGGAATCAGGAATGAATCGGAGACCTTGTGCCGATGTTCAATGCAGAGAATCATGGTGATGTCAGATGCCCGCCTACATACTCAATTTTCTCGTGCGGAGCCAGTTTGATGTGGACCTTGCTGAACTGACGAATTTGAAGCAGTCAAGTGATCTTATGCGGCTGTGGAGAAGGGGGAAGAACAAGCCGATTTGGTCCGAAGTCGACCAGGTGAAAGAAACCCTGACTCCCACTTGACTATGAGTGGGAGACGTGGTTATCAGGGTTGTGATACCTCTCAGCCGATTTGGTCCGAAGTAGACCAGGTGAAAGAAACCCTGACTCCCGCTTGACTATGAGTGGGAGACGTGGTTATCTGGGTTGTGATACCTCTCAACCTGACTTGACCATTTTTCCCCGGACCAGTTGCTGGAAAAAGAAGAGCTTGTGCAGGACCCACTTTGACGTATTGACATGCGTTGCATTGAAAACGGCGCCACTACATGAGTCTTGCTTTCGTATTTGATGTATTTTCGAACGGTGATGTTTTCGAACGGAAGGAACCTGGCGACGAACCGATTTGATTTGCCTGGGATTTTTGTTTTAACATTCCATTACAGGATTGGCTTTCATACAAAGCGACTTAAGCAGCTGCCGGCTATGTATTGTGCGAGGAAATTGCACAATGCTTTGGAGTCCAATGGAACCTGGCGACGAACCTATTTGTTTTGCCTGGGATTTCTTCTTTGACATTCCATTGCAAGATTGGCTTTTATACTAAGCGGCTTAAGCGGCTTTCAGTATGTATCGGGTGAGGAAGTTACACGATGCTTGGAGTCCAACGGAACCTGGCGACGAACCGATTTGTTGTTCGCGCGCTGCTTTAATCTGTAGATCTTTTCTACATGATATGACAAGGGTGGTTTGTTGAAGCTGATGTTGAGTTTCAACTTTGCTATTGATCGTTACCCATGTCATGAAGAACTTGTGAAACCAATTTTTAAATTTCTATTATTTCACTCCTGGGATTATTTGCAGGTTGACCTTAACGTGATATGAAACACGTGGACGGAAAACTCCTGCGGCCCCAAAACAACAAACTGCCTTGAAGTTGCTTCGCTCCTTCGGATTGTTTGTAGGTTGGCCTTAACGTGACATGGAACACGTCGACGAACAAATCCGGCTGGCCCCAAAACAACAAACTGCCTCGAGGTTCGTGAGGCAGATTGGATTTTCTCTGAACTTTTGGATTAGACGGTACGTTACAATATGAAACACGTGGACGGAAAACTCCTGCTGGCCCCAAAACAACAAACTGCCTCGAAGTTGCTTCGCTCCTTCGGATTGTTTGTAGGTTGGCCTTAACGTGACATGGAACACGTCGACGAACAAATCCGGCTGGCCCCAAAACAACAAACTGCCTCGAGGTTCGTGAGGCAGATTGGATTTTCTCTGAACTTTTGGATTAGACGGTACGTTACAATATTGGCCTTCTATTGCTCGATGCTTGGGAGCCCAAAAGGACACGGGAAATGTGGACGCTACGGTTTGGAGGGATAAGGTCTTTGAGCTACTTACATGAGACTACATACGTGACCAAGATTCGCGGTACGACACCGTTCGACTGCATCATTTGGAGAGCCCGGGGTTTTGAGCTATTCACGCGGGGCTACATCTGTTGGCCAGACTTCGCTTCGCTAGCATTGGGAAATGTGATGCAAGAACGGCCTTCTGGAAATTTTTGGCTATACTTTTCTGCGTAGTTGGAGGGCTCAAGTCTTCGGGTTACTTACGTGAGCCTACATGCAGTGGCCAGGATTCATCTGCAATACCTTTCGATCGTACAGCTGGGAGGCCCTAGTATTTTATTCTATTTACACGGGTCTACCTACATTTGCCAACGTTCCTTCAGTTGGAACTGAACTGCGCCCGGGAGTCCTTAGTACAGCCATGGGCCTGCCAAAGCCTGGGGATTTCCGTTTTGACTTGGTCATCTCGGGCAATGATTACACTGCCAGGCAGATCCACTCCGTCGACCAGAGATTTTTGAACGGCTGTCAGCGTGGTCAGTTTAGTACCCTGAGTCCATTGGGTGACATCAAGTTTGGACGCGCACTTTGGCATGTTTTTTCCGTAGGCCCTGACATGTGCCTCACTGGGTTTGGGCCATGACTCCAAATTGGATGTCTGGCGTGAAATATTTCCTTGGTATCCCCAGTCTTCTCTGTAAGTGCTTTGCCTGGAGGTAAACACTTGGCGATTTGTCTGTGCCTCATAGTATGACACTCTCGTTTTTTTGGTCGTTTCCCGATCTCATTCGAGCCTTTGTTTAAGCAATTCTTCAAAATTTGAATCAAAGATTTCGCTAACTCAGAATCATCTCTTTGTTTGCGGAAACTTTTTGGTTCTGGCCTTTTCTCACTCCAGTCTTTCAGGAAGGAGGTCAGTGCCGTGGCCAGTTGACCACCCCCGTTTTCGTTTTGTTTCCTCTTTTTTGAGTTCTTCCCCCCAGCTGCACCTCTGAGTGCAGCGCGTAAGGCTTGGTACTCTCTAATTTTCAAATCCACCCCTTGTCTTATTGACCCCCAGACAACGACGAGCCGTGGTGGGTGGGAGGAGGGGGAGAAGAAGAAAGACAATGACGAACCCAGAGAGGTTGACCGAATGGGAGACCGCACGACCCCCGCAAGAAAGACAGGGAGCAGAAGGAGCCTTGGGAAACGATGGGGAAGGGTGGGAGACGGAGGGGATCAAAACCTAGACAGGGAGGCCCCGATGCTTGTATCCCTCAGGTATCCACCAAATGAAATTCCGAAATCGTTTTTGTTCTGACACGTTTCCTACCAACAAGTCTTGCAGAAAAGCAGCAGCGGTGAAGTTTTCCAGTTGCAACTGCCCAAAGAAACAGTTTGCGTTTGTCAATCCGCTTCGTTTGTGCCGTTGGCATTTGTGACATGACTTGTCAGCGTTAACCTATTGCACTCACTGGCTTTTGATACAAAGTCCCACAGCACTGCCAACAAATACAGAGCAAGTAAAAAAGCCAAATTCAGTAATGGATCTTCGCCACGCTTCACAATATCAAGGGTCAGTATCAGCGTTTTGGTAAATGTTCCACAAGTTGCATACCAATGTCCATGCAGGGATGCTTGAAACAGCGTTGGACCATTCTGGCGACAGCGCGTCACCATTGCCACATTCCGCTGCGCGGCAGCGCGTTTCGCAGCTGCGCACACCAGCTTCGACGTCACTCCATGGCGTTTGCCATTCCCATTGACGCCCCTGGGGAGCCTTTTCCGGGCTGGTGTTGGTGGCAGGCAGAGCAGCAGCCACCGGGCAGTAAAGCATCAGCAAAGCAACAACAGCCAGCCAGCTTCTGCCAAGTTCCGTGCAGGCCATTCGTATTCCACGGCGTTTCGGAAGAGTGCTAATTAAACCAGTCGTCTGACCGGTCGTTTTTTGGCAAACATCTAATTCTTGTTTTTCTTTTTGGACCTGGGCCCTTTTGTGATTTTGCTTCATTTTTTCTTTTTTGTCGCCTTTCGGCTTTTTTTCCGGCGACTCCTGACACCAATCAATGCAAGTCTTTGACTCATTGTGCCACTGTCCTTCTCGGACTTTTTGGCCTTCTGGCTCCAATTTTCGTTTTCGTTTTTTTTCCGTTAGGTCTTTGTTTTTCTTTTTTTGGAGCTTTCTCATCAGAAATCCTACCAGTTTCGCTAATTAATTTCGCACTGATCCACACGCTTTGGCATGCAAAACTACCAAGAGGCATCGGCCAGCCCACCACCGCCGCGATGGAGGCATAGTTAAGGTGGTTGATCACATTAAATTCCTGCTGCAGACGTAAGATGGAGAAAATGCACAAGCCAAACCAAGCCCTTCCCACGCGCATTTGGTTTACAATGAAAATCAATGATATTTCTCATCGGAACAAGGGAATGCTGAACAAAGAGTGCCCAGTGCCAAGCGTAAGCTAGTTTGAGGTGAAGTGAAGCCATGTGTCAAGATTTCAATGAACCATATTTTCTGCTGGAATATTTGCCCCTGCATTTGTAGCACTTGATGACTCTGTGTGCTTCGCAGGTCTTCCTGCTTGTGGAACATATATGTTGCATGGCACGTTGTCTGCGCCCAAAGCCTGTGAGGCTTTGTGCTACGCATCGCATAATATCCTTCATGGCGACAAGTCAATGCCTCAAGAACTGATGCAGAAATGCCCCAGGAGCTGATCTCATAGGGGTTTCCATAGCCTATGGGGGTTTATTTCATGGAAAATCTTTAAATAATGGATGAGAACTGGGGGTAACCGCATTTTAGGAAACCTCTACATTTCCTTGTGATTCAACGCATACTTCGGTTATGTTTTGCCCGCGCTAAATTTTGCGCAGGTCACATGGCCGTTTTTGTTTGATGTGCTGACCTTCTTTTTTAGGCGGATGAGCCCTTTGTTCGTGGCTGGAGTCATTCATTTAAAGCTCACTTTGGAAGAGCTTTTGCAGATCTTCATGGGAGCTCTCAGATTTGCCAAAGAAGGGAGGTGCCGAATCTTTGGGATGCGGTGCCAAAACTCCACCCAGGCCTACTCGGCCCCTAGTAGATGATTGTTGGAATCTAGTGATCTTTTCCCGGCCGCGCTCGGCTGAGATAGTGTTGGCAGGCCCATTGTAGCCACCTTGCTGGACTTTGACAACTTGGTGGATTATGCCTACCTTCTCGCAGGGTGGATGGCCATTATCCGACAAATTCTGTTTGTTGAATACGGTCTAGAGAAGCCCTTCATGTCACTGTACTGTGCAAGTGCCTGGCTACGAATCTTGGAACTGGGTACTGGGGGCTGGAAGCAGATGCAGCTGATGTTGATTACCGACTGCGTAGCGAAGGGTTCTTGTTTTTTTTCTTGGGGGTCTGAGGATGGTCAACTGCTTGCTCGTCTTTTTTTTTTTGATCTAATCGCGTCGTCGCACTGTCTATGGGGAAAGTGAGAAAAGGCGATGTGTTGCGACGTGTGAAAGTGCATTTCGCGTGGCAGGTGTGGGACTTTGTGGTACTCAAGCGGAGGTTGCTTTGGGGGTGTCTAATCGCATCGTTGTGGTGTCTATGGGGAAAGTGAGAAAAGGCAATATGCAGTGACGTGTGAAATTGCATTGTGAAGTGTGAAGTGTGGATTGTGAAGAGTGGTGTGTGAAGTATGGAGTGTGGAGTGGAGAGTGTGAAGTGCGAAGTGTGAAGTGGAGTGTGCAGTGTGAGGTGTGGAGTGTGAAGTGTGAAGTGTGGAGCGTGAAGTGAAGAGTGTGACGTGTGAAGTGTGAAGTGACTTGAAAAGTGGAGTGTGGAGTGTTTGGTGCAAGTGTGCAGCTGGAAGTGTGGAGTGTGAAGTGTGGAGTGGAAAGTGCAGAGTGTGTGAAGGTTTGAAGTGAAGTGTGAAGCGTGAAGTGTTGAGTGTGAAGGGTGTATATAGTCTGATGTGTGGAGTGTGGAGTGTGAAGTGAGAAGTGTGGAGTGTGAAGTGCAAAAGGTGTGATGTGTGGAGTGTGTTGTGGTAAGTGTGAAATGTGGAGTGTGCAGTGTGAAACGAGGGTAGGGTGTGAAGTGTGAAGTGTGAAGTGTGTGGTGTAGTGTGTTGTGTGTAGTGCCAGGTGTGCAGAGTCAAGTGTGAAGTGTGAAGTGCAGTCTAGTACTGTCGTACTGGGAAGTACTTTGCGCAAGTTTTTTTAGTAATACTACCATGTAGTACTGGGAAGTACTTTGTGCAAGCATTGAAGTACAAAGTATTGTTGTGAAGTGCCTTGTGCAAGCTTTGTACTACAAAGTAGTACTGGGAAGTGCCTTAAGTGCCTTGTGCAAGCTTTGTAGTACAAAGTAGTACTGGGGAGTTCCCGGTGCAAATTAGGTAGTACCGCGGAGTTCCTTGTGCAAGATTTGTAGTGCAAAGTGGTGCTGGGAAGTGCCTTGTGCAAGCTTTGTAGTGCAAAGTAGTACTGGGTACGGGGAGGTGCTTTGTGCAATATGTGTAGTACAAAGTAGTGATGGGAAGTGCCTTGGCCAAACTTTGCAATACAAAGTAGTACTGGGAAGTATTTGTGCAAGCTTTGCAGTACAAAGTTGTACTGGGAAGTTCCATGTGCAAGCTTTTTAGTACAAAGTAGTCCTAGGAAGTACTTTGTGCACGCATCGCAGTACAAAGTTGTACTGGGAAGTTCCATGTGCAAGCTTTTTAGTACAAAGTAGTCCTAGGAAGTACTTTGTGCACGCATCGCAGTACAAAGTAGTACTGGGAAGTGCCTTGGGCAAGCTTTGTAGTACAAAGTAGTACTGCGAGGTGCTTTGTGCAACCCTTGTAGAACAAAGTAGTACTGGGAAGTGCCCTGTGCAAAGCTTTGTGCTACAAAGTACTACTGGGAAGTGCCTTGTGCAAGCTTTGTCGTACAAAGTAGTGCTGGGAAGTGCCTTGTACAAGCTTTGTAGTACAAAAGTAGTGCTGGGAAGGTGCTTGTGCACGCATCGCAGTACAAAGTAGGCTTTGCAGTACAAAGTAGTACTGGGAAGTGCCCTGTGCAAGCTTTGTAGTACAAAGTAGTGCTGGGAAGCGCCGCGTGCAAGCTTTGTAGTACAAAGTAGTACTGGGAAGTGCTTTGTGCAAGCTTTGTAGTACAAAGTAGTATTGGGAAGCACTTTGTGCAAGCATTGCAGTACAAAGTAGTGCTGGGAAGTACGTTGTGCAAGCTTTGCAGTACAAAGCCGTACTGGAAGGTATATATTTTATGCGAGCTTTTCAGTACAAGTGTCGAGTGTGAAGTGTGACGTGCACAGTGTGGAGTGGAGAGTATGGAGTGTGGAGTCCCCAGTGTGGAGTGTGAAGTGTGGAGTGTGAAGTGTGGAGTGTGAAGTGTGAAGTGTGGAGTGTGAAGTGTGAAGTGTGGAATGTGGAGTGGAGGGTGCAAGATGTGAAATCGAGTGTGAAGTGTGAAGTGTGGAGCGTGAAGTGAAGTGTGAGGTGTGTAGTGCCAGGTGTGCAGTGTGAAGTGTCGAGTATGGAGTTTGAAGTGAAGTGCGAAGTGTGACGTGCGACGTGTGAAGTGTGAAGTGTGGGGTGTGGAGTGGAGAGTGTGAAGTGTGAAGTGTGGAGTGTGGAGTGTGAAGTGTGGAGTGTGGAGTGTGATATGGAACGTGTGGACTGTTGAGTGTTGAGTGTGAAGCGCGAAGTGTGCCATGGAGAGTGGGAGGTGTGAAATGTTGAGTGTGAAGTGTAGAGTGTGGAGTGTGAAGTGCGAAGTGTGGAGTGGAGGGTGCAAAGTGGGAAATGGAGTGTCAAGTGTCAAGCATGGAGTGTGAAGTCTGCAGTGTGTGGAGTGTGTGGAGTGTGTGGAGTGTGTGGAGTGTGAAGTGCGAAGTGTGAAGTCTGCAGTGTGTGGAGTGTGTGGAGTGGAGCTAGATTGTGAAGTGTGGAGTGTGAAGTGTGAAGTGCGGTGTGTGGAGTGTGGAGTGGGAATTGTTGGAGTGGAGCGTGTGGAGTGTGATGTGGGAAGTGTGGAGTGTGACGTGTGAAGTGTGAAGTGTGGAGTGTGAAGTGTGTGTGAAGTGTGAAGTGTGGAGTGTGAAGTGTGGAGTTGGAAGTGAGGAGTGTGAAGTGTGGAGTTGGAAGTGAGGAGTGTGAAGCGTGGGGTGTGGAGTGGAGAGTGGAGAGTGTGAAGTGTGTGGAGTGTGTGGAGTGTGTGGAGTGTGTGGACTGTGTGGAGTGTGTGGAGTGTGTGGAGTGTGGAGTGTGGAGTGGAGACTGTGAAGTGCGGAGATTGTGAAGTGTTGAGTGTGAAGCGTGGAGTGTTGAGTGTGACACTGTGGAGTGTGGAATGTGGAGTGTGAAGTGTGGAGTGGGAAGTGCGGAGCGTGGAGTGTGTGATGATTGAGGTGTGGGGAGTAAAGCTGGGAAGTGCCCTGTGCAAGCTTTGTAGTACAGAGTAGTACTGGGAATTACTCTGTGCAAGATTTGCAGTATAAAGTAGTACTGTGAGGTACTGTGTGGACGCTTTGTAAGTACAAAGTGGTGTTCCAGACGTGTCAAGCAAGACTGTCTCACAAGAGTGTTTCAGAGTATTGAGAGTGAGTGTTTTACCAGAGTGTGCCACAAGAGTGCCGAGCAAGAGTGTCAGGCAAGGGTGTCTCACAAGAGTGTCCCATAAAAGTGTCCCACAAGAGTGCCCCACAAGAGTGTCAATCAAAAGTGTTCTGCAAGAGTGGTTTTTAAATGCGATCGAACATCTCCTGTTCGCTTTTCATTGTTCCGTAGGAACCCTTCTTCTACGTAAATTTTTAAAAATGCATTCGGGTTCGCGGTTTCTATCAGTTTTTTTGGACGCATTTCTTGCGTCGTCATTGTGTGGAGGACACGCTTAATGCTTGATTTCTGCAACATTGAGCAAGCGGACTCCTAAGATGATAGCAAAAAAAAACAGTTCCTGTTTGATGATCTCTGCAGATAGTAGCTAATCGTACAAAAAATACAATGTCAGATGCGCAACGGAAACTCCCACGATGTTTGCAGAGCCTCCATTGGCCTCTCACTTTGCCGCGCTCAGGAGCTTTGTACACTTTGCGAGGTGAATCTTGGATGGGTCCGCGACTGCTTCCAATTTTTTTTGCCTAGAAGGATACGACTGCATTTTTCATGGTGACTGCAATCTGTGTGATGGCAGCCACTCATGCATATTACAACTTTCAAGTGGAGGATTTCCCGAGCCCTTTTTATGCTGCATTCCTGCAAGTGGTTCGGCTTGGCATCTTTGGTGACTTTGACATGATCGACTTTGAAGGCCAACGCGAAACTTTAGTTTTCAACGAAGAGGTGCAAGGCTGGCAACCTGTCGATCTAGATCCGTCCCCAGATTACTTCTATATGCACGGACTGTTCTATCTGGCGGGGATGGGAATTACTGTCCTTCTCATGAACTTGCTGATCGGTGTCCTTGGACAGAACTTTGACACCTATCAAGCGCAGAGCTCCATGCTCTACCTGAGAGCAAGGGCCAAGATGTTGCGGACTATCCAAATCCGCCCTTGGACGCTTCGCTGCCTACGAAGAAAGGAATGCAAGCAGAACCTGTCGGTGGGCTGGGGGCAAACGTGCGGGTCTGAAAGCATTTGATCAGCCAAACGAAAAGGATTCCTGACAGCCACTGACAGCTTGCAACACTAACCATCAGTCGCTGACAAGCGCTTTCCCACCATATCGAGTGGGCGAGCGGTTTGGACACCATGAATTCATGCAACTGAGTGCGTTTCTAGTTAGTCGGCGCATACTTCTAGAGATTTCTAAAGTCTGTAGTGATACATATTATAGATTATAATTATTAGTGGCAGCTCTTCCTATAAATACCTTTTACATCCTTTTACCATCTTTTACCATCCTTTACCCCTGGCCCTGGCACTGCTGCAGGTGGCTGAGAGGATAGTGGTTTGCGCAGGGATCTTCCTTTGCTTTCCCTTGCTGCCAGTCCTCAGGTGCCGGGAGCGTTTGGCAGGGGGGTTTCCATCATGGGGGTAGCGTCATCACCATGGCTGGAGGAACAACTTTATGGCCCTGGGGACAGCGATGCAGCGGTCCTTGAAGGAATACCATGGGATGGCAGTGCTTTTATCTCTATATGCATCTGGGCATACATCTGGGCTTTGAAGTCGCAAGGCTGTGTACATATGAGGAGACAAGACAACTTCAGAGCTCAAGATGTCACATGATTTCACACTCACCACAAAAAAAGACAGCTTGTTACTGTTTTCCATTGCGGTCTACAACGGGATCATGTCCGTCCTTTCCTTGTTCCTCCGCCTCCCAAATTATGTGCCATGATAATTCAATAGGTGTTTTTCAACAGAGGTTTGAAGGAACATCAGCAGAAACCCCAAGCCAGGGGGCGCCATTCTAAATTCAACATGAGGCTGAGGGGTGAGCACCACGGTGAGTTCACATGCAGGAAGTGTTAGCAGGTGAGGTTTCAAAACATCAAAGTCCAAGATTCCAAGGCCCTATTCTTTCTGCCTCTGTCTCTGGCCTGTCTTCTCTTGTATCTGTTCGGCGGTTTCATGGTCGCAAGGGTTTCGGGTGAGACCAGGGTTTTAAGAGCCTGCAAAAGGACCCTGAATGGTGGGGGGGAACTCAAAAGTTGTCGTGTCTGGTTGAGAACATGTTGGGAGTTACGGAAAATGCATCGGTTGAGTTGGCAAACCAAGGTTTCTTATACCGGTCAAACTTGCGTCGATTGAACGTGTTTCTTTATTGATGGGCCCTGGAACATTTTCAAAGCAGCCACCAGATGTCCTAGTGCAGTTCTCTAACTTGCAGGCACAAATTTTCTCATACATCAGCCAATGGCCTTCAAACACAGATTTCTCATGATTTCTCCATAGTCTTCATGGTGTTTGCAGGTTTTTGCAAGTTTTTGCTTCTGTTTTCCAGCTTTCTTTGGCTTTCTAATTGGGGACATCAGACTGCGTCGCCAGACTGTGCCTTAGTGGGTACACCGCTGCTGAATATTTCATAAACACATTATATATATGAAAACAACATAGACGATGACATATGATGACTGGGGGTGTCCCTATTTTCGGAAACATCCATGTGTTGCCAATGTGTGTTTTGTTTTGAGAGACTGGACGCAATGCAGTGCCACCAAAAACATAATCGTTTGAGTAGCAGGATGGCAAGGGTGAACCTCGGATTTGGTTACTGCTTCGACCAGAACAAAGCGACGAATCTCAAAGTCTCCGAGCTGATTTCAAGATGCAGATGAACATCTTGAAGGAGCAAAACGGGGTCGTAGACTGCAATTCAATCGTCTTGCGGCCTTAAGGGCTTGGAAACCGTTTCACGTGATGGCGCTCCATGTATGGCAATCCAATCATTTGATTCCAAATCGTTGTATCTTACGGCTAAAGCAGGGCAAGCTGGAAGGAAGGATTGTGTGATTCTGCCGAGCAAATCATATAAATGTACATGTTGGAATTAGATGGAATTGGCATGAATTAGCAACGGTTATAGGGCTAGGACTGCTCCAGGGCAGAACATGCAATACATATAGAACTTCTTAACCGTGGCCAAGTAGGCAGACTGTGAAATGCGGACGCACGCTGTTCCAGCCACCGTAGTTTGAGGTCAATTTCTGGTTAACACATGCTATTGAAGACGAGCCCATACCAACCATTGGTTTTTACAGCAAAGCTACAAGATCCTGGTTTTTTAATACAAACAGCACCAGCTCAGGAGCTGCAGAGAAGTCAGCAGGAGCTACAGAGAAGTCAGCAGGAGATGCAGAGAAGTCAGCTGGAAATGCAGAGAAGGCAACAGGACGTGTCCCGAGATTTGTGACTTGTGGGGGAGCTTGGAATTTTACAACGGCATTTCGGGCGATAAAGATTCTCAAATGGGTAAAGTTGCTGTTCCTTTGAAATCATTTGAAACTATGATTAGCAATTAAATCAAGAGCAACAAAATCACTATATAGGAAATCAATGGAAATCAGCTAGCAGACGAAGAAGATAGAAATCTGCCATTTTTATCAATATTCACGCCGCTTCGTGGCTGGCATCCGCCCGCACCGGGATGTTTTCGAAAAAAACGCGAAGAATTTGATAGCCATGTATAGCGGACCAAAGAAGTTCAAAAAATAACGAGAAACATGAAAAAACAGCGAAATTGCTGTTATTTACAGTGTTTTTGCGCAGTGAGAAGCAGAAACCACTGCAAATACCATGGTTTTTGAGGGTCAGGTGGCCAAAAGCACTGTAATCTACAGTGTTTTTTTAACCAACGTCAAAAAACACTGGTATTTACGATGTTTTCATTCACACCGTAACATAAAACAGTGTAATTTACGAGGTTTTTGGAAGTTATGAAGCTAGCCGTCAAGCATGCAGAAAACATAAAAACACTGTAAAAACCAGTGTTTCTGCTATCACAAAACGACGAAAATCAGTCCAAAAACGGGTCCAAAAGCTCAAAAATCCGCCTCCGGGCAGCCCACCTGCGGAACCGCAAAAAAAGATGTTGCAAACCAAAAAATTGAGGTCAAAAAGTTGAAAAACACGAGGTTTTTTCACTTTTCGCTTGCCGATTTTTGACGGGCGCGTTCACGAACAGGTGTAATCCATACTGTTTTTTACAGTGCTTTTTGAAGGCGAGCGTCACGACCTATCAAAAACAGGAGGTTTTGGCCGAAAAATGCCCCCCCCCCCAGGTAAACCTGTACCCTTTACGAGTGCCATCCGGAAGATCACGCCCCTCTGCACCTTCGGTGCGGGCGGATTTTATGTTTTTCTGGCCCCGGTGCTTACCAGAACTATTGTTTCAATGTTTTAGGTTGGTAAAGAACTCCTGCTTTGGGTGATGCCTGAAATATACCCAGGCTTTATATGTAAAGCACGTAAAGCTCCTGCCTTGAATGCGTGCTGAAGCCTTATCTTAAGAGGGGCAGCCCTGAAACTTCAAAGACAGACATGACCTTAAAATGCAGTGTCTAATGTTTTTGTTGGGTGTCCGTTTTCCCCGATTTGCGTCGTTAGTTTGCCATTAAAAACCTACTGATTCAGGAACAGATGGAACAGGTTCCGATGAAAAACTTGCGCCGTGGAGTGCTGCAAAGCAGCGTACCTTTTGTCCAGAAAGCTCGAAATCTGATGCGTTTCTTTTTTATTTTTTGTGCGGTTCAGTTTCCCCTTGTTTTATAGGATTTGTGACTTTGACTTGACGCTTTTCAAAAAATGCTCAACTGTACGGAATGCAAAACCTTGCAGATTCGTTCTCAGACCCACTAAGCACATGGAGGAGCACCACAAATTAGTCAACAAAAATCGATTTGTTTGAGGCCTTGCTGAGTCATACTGGTGATTCAGCTTCGGGGTCTAGAAATGTCTAGAATCAAGATTGGGTTTCAATTCAAAAGCTATTTGGAGGTTTCCTAAGATGGGGGTACCCCGAAATCATCTATTTTAAAATGATTTTCCATCATAAACCATCCATTTTGGGGTACTCCCATTTATGGAAACCCATTGGCCGTTAAAAAAAACCGTTTCAGAAAACAAACTGAATCGTGACGTGGCAGAGGCAATGATCCGCCAACTGTCCCTGTTGAGGGTACATGTTACATACCTTAGCCAACTTGTGCCTTGTTTACATCTTGGGTTTATCATAAAGATTGAAACTAAATCATAATTATCATAATTATCATAATCATGATTTATCCATATCTCAAACATAATTCATCATAATGACCAAGTCAAGGAAAATTTCAGGATCCTAAAGTCTAGGCGGCTACATAAGCCGTACATATGCCTTACATAAGAAGTTAAGTAAGGCCTATGTAAGGCCTATGTATTTGAATACAAGTTTTGCTCGGAAACTATGTCAGAACCTCTGCAAACACACACAAAATAAAAAATGTGGTGGATATACTTATACATGTTTGTATGTCCCCATTTGTCCTTGCTTCGCATTCTGTTCTTATTTGTGTTGACGAATGCACGTGCAGGTTCACGGAAATACCACTTGCCTTTCCATGGCAAAGTGTTTTTGATCTACCTTGTCTTTCCCACTTTTTCAGTGCCTAACATAGCCCTTGCATAGACCTTACATAGCTCAAAATCACCATTTTGCCTATTTTTTTTGATCCACCTTGTCTTTCCCTCTTTCAATGTCTTACAAAGCCCTTACAAAAACCTTACATAACTCAAAACCACCATTTTCCCTTGTGTTTTTGATCCACCTTGTCTTGCCCTCTTTCAATGTCTTACATAGCCCTTACATAGACCTTACATAGTTCAAAATCACCATTTTGCCTAATTTTTTTGATCCACCTTGTCTTTCCCTCTTTCAATGCCTTACATAGCCCTTACATAGACCTTACATACATCAAAATCAACATTTTACCTTGTTTTCATCCATTCAAAATGTGATTTTCACCACCAACTAGGTAATCAACACATAAGCCTTACAAGGGCCTTACAAGGGCCTTTCAAAAGCCGTGCAAATCAGAGAAACACCCTTGCACACAAGGCTACTTTAACAGAGCTTCCTGGCAGTACGTGGGATTTCCTGCCTTGTCTTTTCCGCTTCCCTACTTCCAGGTTGGCGCCCCAAATAGTTGTAGTCAACCCAAGCTTCGCTAACTGACCCTGACCGGTCAGCCCGGATTCCTGATAGCGAAGGGATTGCCACTACGTACATCAGGCACCCTTGGTTCATGTAAGAAATGGCGATTTGTGGTAGGAAGGCTCGCAACTAGGATCCTAAGGTTTAGGTTCCTGCAGGGGCCGGTGACCAAATTTCATACAACATTTATCCATATCTCAATCTGTCTTAGTGCAGATCTCTCTCTCTCTCTCTCTCTTTTCTCCCTAAACATATGGTGGTTTCCTGAAATAGGGGTACCCCCAGATCATCCATTTTAATAGGATTTTCCATGAAATAAACCAGCCAGCTATTGCGGGTACCCCATGACTTAGGAAACCACCATATGATTTCTTCAATTGCTGTAGATCAGGTGGTCTGTTCAGCTTCGAGGTCGTAAGCCACGGTTAAATCTGCAGGACATCGACTTCAAACTGGATACCCTTGCCAAGATGCAACCGGCAGGTCCGGGATGCAGGGAAGCAAAGATGCGCCGTGGCATCCAAATGTACAGTAAGTGTGGGTGTATTATAAAGCTTTTTAGAATGATATATATATATAATCTTTAGTCTTTTATATTCTTTATTGTAGATAGGGTGGCCCCATTCTATTTTCGATCCACGACTGGGCTGGGTCCTCAACGCTTAGAGTCTGCTTCTACAGGCTTCCTGTGTTTGACAACGCTCAATGATTTTGCAGGGTCGTGGTCCGGGTCCACCATACCTGGACGTTGTGATGGTGGAATCCCCTGAACAAATGGTGTTTTTGCAGTTGCTGCGCAGGAGCTTCCAGCGATGCCAGTACGTTGGAGCCATCGGAACCATAGCAGGCTTCCCCACGGCGGAGAAGGTTATCCACCTATGGGCCTCGACCGCTTTCTGCCTTGGCAAAGCTAATGGCAGATCCAAAGGTTTTAGTGTCAGAACATCGCTGGAGCTTGTGCGATCATGGTTCTTTCTGGCAGTGTTTTTTGGCACATCTGGGATTTGTGTTTTTTTCACTAAATTCCAACTGACTCAAAAGCTTTGCCCTTCAAAAAACTTAAGACTGGATAGAGTGCTTCCCAGCGTTGCCAAATCTTGTGAAGCGACAAAGAGCCGGATAGACCAGAATCCAAGAAACCATAAGGAACCCAAAGAACCTTGACCCGTCACGGATTGTAGTGTTACATCACTTGGCTGAAAGGCCGCGTCTTTCAGCTGAGGGCATTTGCACAGCCACATGGCTGTCGGAGGACTTTTCCAGGATTGTGATATGTCCTGCCATCAGCTTTAGCACAACTGGTTGATGCAGATCGCCAATGGCCCAACACACTCTTTTAAACCATCCTGTACTTGTACTTTGTGCAATGGAGGCATGTCCAGAGAATATCACAATCTCGGAGCTTTAACAAATGCGTTTTGAATTTCTGAGAAATTTAAAGGCATGATTGAATATACTGTTTTTTTACCTGCTATTTCAGCCCAGTGCCAATGCTTTTTGATGTGGAACGCATGGATTGTCACGTGTGCATCACGGCTGGAACAGCAGATAAGCGCAGGCCATTGAGGCCATTCTGTGAAGCTGCGACCACTGCAGTTTGAGGGTGGAACTTGGTGGAACCATGAACTCAAATCTTTAGGATCTTCCACTGGGAAGTGAGAAAGGTGACATGACTTATGACTTGTGATGACTTGTGATGCCAGTAAGCCTGGAATCCAGATTTCATGTGCACCGCATCTCCGCATAGGAATTATCAGCACATCTTGGCAGATTGGCTTGGACGAGTTCACATCAGAGTCATCACAAGAGGAATGCAGACCAGCTCCATCCTTCCCGCAAATTTGGAGGGCCGTGTCAGATGGTGGCAGAATTTCCAAAAGAAGCTGGATGTGGGGTGACTGCAGGGCTCAAGGGTGTCTTGTATATCTTGTAGTTTCCATTCGCCACTTTGTGGTTTCATCTGAACAGAGATCACTACAGAGATGGTCTCCAGTAGCCAAAAAGACAAAGCAGTCTGCGTCATATCCAGCAGCTAATTCCAGGACTTCAAAGGTGGGCAGGTGTTACTATCGAATACCATCGAATACCACATTTCTGACTGGAAAACCATGGGCACGAATCCTTTTCAGAGAAAAACAATTTCAAGTCTCTGACGAAAGCGATATATAAAACCATACAGATGGGATTTTCCCTTGCCAGGTCCGTTTACTGAAGGCATAGTTCGGCAAAGTTCTGCAAATCAGTTGATTTTCTTGGCACAACTTAGAAAAGCGGCCGCGGTGCAACTTTCTGTCAACCCGTGCCCAGGCGAGACATGGGGTCTGGAAATAGACCACGCAAAATCATCAAATCTATGGCCATTCGGAAAAATGATGAGATATGAGCAACCAGTGGAAATCCAGATCCAACCTGCTACTGGGCGTATCTACGGCAAAGCTAAATAGACTCGACAAATCTATTTTTGTTAGCGGAATTTCCTCTGCAGTTGAGTAATTATGGGGATGTTTCAGCCACTATCAGCTATGTTTGATTGGCTAGTGATTTTGATCTACAGCTTTGGTTGATGGAATCACGTAAATCCATGGCTAATCCCTTTTTTTGTTGGTAAACTGATAGTTTTTGTTATTTTCCATAGACCGAATTGAAGTTGGCCAAACATGGACATGGTGAAAGCGGGCAGCGGCCAGGTCCAAACCGCTGACGATTCAGGTGGCTGATGGATGGTGGTAGAGCGAGGATCTCCCGGATCTGGTCTTCGGTTTCCGGGGCACTTTTCCAAATGTCTTGGAGAAATCTTCTCGGAAGGTCAACATGGGAAGTTGGCTTATTCGCATCAGTCGAGATACGAAGTTCGAAAAGTGGAGTGCTCTCAGGGAAGATGGTTCCGTTCAACCTTAGACCTGTTGAAGATTCGGCCGAAGCTTTCTGATCCACCGTGGCAAGGCGATGAAGGCCTCGTGTTGTATTGCTGCGTTCGCAGGCCATTGTGGGTCAATGTGGCTGAACATGAAGCAAAATTAGGTAGATTAATGTAGATTAGTGATACTGTGATAGTAAGATTTTCAGTTTTTTCAGCCATGTCACCTACCCTGCCATTGATATCCATTTATATCATGTCTTGACTTACGTAAGCTTGGGACCATTTGCTTTTTGCTGGCAGGGCCCAGCTTGACCCATGGACTTGAACTTTGGAGAACTTTAGAGAACTTTGGGACACCGGAGGGGCAAATTCAAATCAGATACACCGATACATTAAACATTTTTCTTAGCCTCCCAGTGCCCTCAGTTGAGTGTGTACGACCCAGCCCATCGGGAAGTTCCCATTTGGATCGGGTAGGTTACCCTGTTCTGTTGGTGAAATCCAGCACTGAAGTGGGCGAGAATCTTCCGTGAAATCAACATAATCTCAGCACTCGAGGTCCCAGTTGTCACGTTGTGGCCTTAGATGTTGCACCCGACATGGAGGATTGCTCTACCTGTTTCTGCCGAACAAAGAGTTGCGACACCCAGGGGCCTGGGGTCGTGATGTGTACTGATATGGGCACAAGATCAACAAGTGGCTCTGGGCCACGGTCAACACCCTGTAACATCGGAAGTATAAGTGATCTCCCTATATGTTTTGGGTGAAATCCCTCTTAGCCATGGCCATTGTACCCAGCCAGGCAATCAATCTGTATGGTCAGCTAACATAGCAATGGACAATCACAATTTTAATAGGTAAATCAACTATAAATCAACTATAAATGGCAAGTTTCACTAACAAACTGTTAAATTATCAGAGGTATATTGAAAGATCATTTCCTTCCAAACCCAGGCCTTTGGTGCAATGTTAGGGATATCTTCATAACCTTCCAGTCTACTAATAGTGGTACCTATTTTTGTAGCAACATATCGAATTTTGGATGGTACTCCCGCACCCCTTTTTTTAGAGCTATGGCCGGTTCCATGTCTTGGACAACAATCCACTCAGGGACATTCAACATGTTGTTTGCGGAATCCGGTCTCCTTGCATCTTGTCTTTTGGGTTGAATGATCAAACACAATATTCGAAACTTTGGAGGTACTGAGTTTCGCTTGCACGGATTGCCAGCACAGTTATTCAGGCGTGGCCCTGAATTTCTGACCTTCTTCACCCGCAGACGTTTGGTAATCCGACCCATTTTTTTTTCGTACCATATGGATCCGTTGAGGATTTTGATCAAGCTTATCAACCTTCAACTCGAAGTTTCATCTTTGATTTGATTCAGCTTTGATCCCCAGCCAATATTTTGACCAGGGTTGCTCCCAACACCAGAGGTGGAAATTTCATGTAGGCAAGAGTCACACATTTCCTCCCCTCTAGCCTTGTAGCATCATATACCTATCATTCACTCTTTCACATTAATTGCTTGGGGAAACCCTGGCATTGAGTTTCTACAGTACATGCCCAGTTGACCCCTGAGGATTGCGGTTTCTACCACGTTTTTGCTAGGCCGCGGCCAGTAACTTGTAACCATAGTATCCCAATATTGTATCCCATATCCTTTTCCGAAACGCTGGCGATTCAGGACCTGATCAGTTCACAGTCCGAGTGAAACTCGCAACTTGCTGGCAGCGCCGCCATTGGTTTTCTTAAGGAAGTTGATGTGTCGTACTTTCTGAAATAAACTCCTCCCACATTGAATCCAAATTTTGAAATCATACCATCTCTATTGGATAGGACCTTGAATTTTGTTTCGATTGGCTGGAAATGATAACCTCAGGCGCGGAGCCATTCAAGCTAAGAAAAACAAATATCAAGTCGCCAGGGTTTCAAGCTGCATTGGAAGGTGGCATTGAAGTCCTTGATAAAGAGCGTTGTGCCATTTTCTTGGCCGGGCTTTCCAACGAGGATCGCAACTTCTTGGAGGCCTCAGAAGGCTTAGGTAATTCCCAGGCTGAGGTGGCATGAAAGGAATGCCTATACCATTACCACCGAAGATGTATCCACTTGTAAGTTGAAAAAACTGATCTGTTTGAACACATTTACCACTGACCTCAAAATCTCTCGCCTAAGGCGACTGGTGCAAATTGCAGAGGATCTGTCCAGAAAAAAAGGGTCGACAGCGGCAAGACAGTTGGCTTCGTCTGAAAATTGGGTTCGGACGATATACCTTAACTTTATTGAGTCAACCGTCATTCTCTCCATGAAAATTGCATTTTTATTTTTGGTACCCCATTTTCAGACAAACCCATTCAGAAGAATATGGAGATTGAGATGTCCTCGATATACCTGGCTCCGCTATGTCACGTATCGTTCTTGCAGCACTTTGGCTCACCAAACGACGGGTTGAGCAAAGCTTCCAAAATGGACAGTGAATCATATACTGGATCATATGGAGGTTTCCTAAAACGGAGGATCCGAAGCATCCAAGTCAATGGACCATTTTAGTATCCAAACCCATGGTGACTTGGGAAAACACGGCCCAAAATCCGCCTGGATGGTGAATCCTTTGGCTTCGCATGGCTTGTTGCTAGTGCTGCTAGTGGCAGTGGCAGGGGCCGTTGCGTCTGCCATAACATCTCCCATTCATGTGTTGAACGACCCAGCGATAGTTGATGCCGATGAAGAGGGAATCCACCTTGTGACAGAGATCCGCAAATTCGCAGAATCTGTCACTGTGCTGGATTCAACCTCGGAGTTGAGTGCATTGCTGGGGAGTGACACACTGACGAGCGGTCAGTTAGTTATTCCTGAGCAAGAAGCAGGGTCCTTGTCAAGTGCTTTGGGCAGTCAATCTACGTTTCAGTTGGGTCAAGATATTCAAGGAGGACTTCATCTTATTGTGCATGACGACATTGGCCTGATCACGCAAATTACTGGATGGTCTTTGTTGGTGGATTCGTGTGGTAGTTCTGCTTCTCAAAACTTGTCAGGAGGTGGATTTGGTCAAGGACCTAGCAGCTTGCCATATGTGAGTGCTGTCCAGTGTGTTCAAAGAAGCTCTCTACCCGACTCAGTGGATGGGGTCTATGCCTCCACGTATGCTTGGGCTTGGACTACTCCATATGGTAGTGGTCGCATCACGTACATGGGAGCTGACTATTTTAACGTGAAACCTGAATGGCCAGAGCTACTAGAAAGTTCCCTGAGCTGCTGGACTTAATTATTGTTGCTACGTTTTGAATTCTATACACCTCGAATTGATGTTATATCCTAACAGCGTTTTTCTTTATCACAATGGCCACGGTATGTTTTATTTTACACGTCTGCGCCTTTCGTATTAATTACACAAAATAGCTGGCCTTAAACTTTCGTCCTTGGCCTTAAACTTTCGTCCTTAGCCTTATCTTTTGGAAGCTTCTGGTACCTTCCGGCAGCTTTCGGTGTGATGCTGGGAAGCTCCGGTTGCTTAGCTTAGAAAGCTTTTCGATAAAAAAAGAAAACCACCGAAGAATGTCCGAATGGAATGCCACATCATCGAAGTAGTAACGATAATATGCATATATATATACATAACGACTACCACGTTAACGAAATTAATCGAGGTGGACCGTTGGTTATCCAATTATTTTTTTTCGATTAATTTCCTTTTTTTTGACGTTTTTCGAGAACTATATTGCTCGAGGATTAATTTCAGTTGAGGGTACCCAAATTAATTTAGAGAATGAGAGTTGGGGGTACCCAAATTAATTTAGCAATGTTGGTAATTCTAGAGCCAATACATGCATCCAAGCCGGACTTCGCAGAAGGGTCGTGTTTATTAGATACAGAACCTACCCAGGTTCCACCTGGTCATGAGAATTGAAAACCCAGTAAAACCTCACGAACAAGTACACACCCAATCTATTTCTTTTTGCGCCAACAAAGTTTTTACTTTTTCCCAGCTCGCATGACCACGTGTAAAATTAATTTGGGGGTGGGTGTACTAGTACAGGACCCAATGATTGTAATGACAGTAAATCTAACTGGGTGGCATTTACAAGTAACTAGGTAAGAAGATGCGTTTGGAACAGAATCTTATTGATT